CTGCTTCCTCTTGATCCTTGACCAAGGATAAATGATAGCAGTAGATGCACAGCGTGCCGTTTGATTCTTAAAATGCTGTTTACATCTGGAGTTCTCCTTTTTAATTATCCAGTGCCAGCCCTCATCTATGTTATCTGCAAGGAAAATGAGGTCGTGTATATATCAAAGTGCTTCTGCTGCCGCGTATTCCTCCCAGCAGGCGTTTCCTCTAATGTCATCTTAAACGTGACATGCAGTTGTGCACGTGGCTGCAAAGTTTCACATCCAATTTCACAGGTTTCAACTCTGAGTAATGATGCTAAACCAGAGACTGTCACTATAATCAAGTAAAGTTTTCGATTCTTGAAACCATTAAACAAAACGAGTGAGGAGAAAACTTGGCTCTATATGTAATAAATGCTTTATAAATTATGTACAATCCATTATAATAAACAGACTTTAAAACGCAAAAGTGAGTGAGAGATACATTTTTCAGTATATCTCTGGATCCGTTTGACAGTTACTCAGGCTGAAGTTGAAATAATGACTCAGTAACTGACCCGTTCGATGACTTCATGAATGTGCTTGTCTGATGTGTCCAATTGTGGCTTTGTGCTCTCTGTTAACAGTGCTACTTATAACACTGGATATGCCCGTATTTAGGCCACTTCACTCCCTCAGGCTAACAACTTGTGTGCATAATTCTGTGGGTTATAACACACAACTGCTATATATAAAACAAGGTTAAGTCCTGAAACTAATAGATTGGTATTGACAAGGGTCAAAAGGCGGCGTTCTGTGATATGTGTGGCGCGATTTTCTGAGTGTTTTAGTCTGTTTCACAACAAACATGCAGTGACTAAAAACAGCTCTGATGTCTGCATTTCCTGAAACTCTGAGTCAGTCTGGCTCTCTTTCACAGTGTACCTTTTGTCCCATCTTCCTCCCATCAACCCCAAGTGGTCGCAGCAGACGGCTCCCTGAGCCTGGTTCTGCTGGAGGTTGTTTCCTGTTAAAAGGGAGTTTTTCTTTCCTACTGTCACCAAGTGCTTGCTCATAGAGGGCCATCTGCATGTTTGGGGCTTTCTCTGTGTTATTGTAGGGTCTTTACTTGACATTATAAAGCAACTCGAGGTGGCTGTTTTTGTGATTTGGCGCTATATAAATAAACTTGAATTGATTTGAATTAAACTAACTAGCAGAGATTCAAGTTTTATCATAACGTCCTTGTTAGACTTTGAAAATAATGTCAGATAAAAACACTGTGCTATTAATTTCATCCACCGTATGGTCGACGCTTCATAAATGTCAGTTTTACTCAAACTCAGTGGGAAGTTCTGGAAAATGGTTGCTGACATTTACACTCAATTGAATATTGCTGAAGAGGTTGTTCATCAGACAGCAAGCGGCGTGCTTCCTGAGCGGAGCTCATTTGCTCCGGTGGAAAGCGGGAAACATGCCCAAGGTGTACTGAAGATGCAGTGCAGTGATGGCCAGAAATCTCACCTAAATACTTACCCTTATTGAAATGCTGTCAGACGTTTGCCGGGGAAGTCCTGGGGAAATGGAGGAGGAACTGTAATCCTCTGTAAAGCCGGAGAATCAGTATACAGCTGTACGGACTGCAGACTCACACCGGCATGAGTTGTACCTTCAAACTAGCTCACTAAAAGCCAGATAGGAATAAGCTGAAAGCATCTTCTTTATTGTAAATGTTTTTTAGTTTTGTTTTTATGTGACACTTGTACTGCAGTTAAGTTTCTCTCTTTACTTAACCAGGAAAGGCTTTAAAAACATATTCTTATTTATAATGACAGCGTGGGCAAAAGGCAAAACCTCTGGAGAAAATGGTATGAGAGCTGAAAAAGAAACATTAAAAGTCAAAAGAACAACAGCACACCCACTACTTACTAACACACAAATGGCATATGGGTATATAACAGCACAGGTCATATTAATGTCCACAATAAATCCCTTGAATTCCTCCACCAGCTCGAATGATCAGTGAACAGACACATTATTTGTTTTGGGAAGTTTCATCAAAACGAGGCGAGCAGGACTCAATAAATATTGCAATTCGTGTGTGATGATAGCCAGTTAACAGAGGAATATAGCGGACCAGTGATGACGTTTGATGGGAGCAAACGGAATAGCTGAGTCATAATAAAGAGCATCAAGCTTCTTGAAGGGCGCCCTTGCAAGCTGACCTATATATAACATCATCATTGACTAACATGGAGAGGAGGGGAACTTCACATGGCTGCTTATTCCTGCAGAGAAATGTGCACGTGTTAGACCTTGCTAGAGAGTCTCAAGCACTTTCTGCTGCAACAGCTACTGTTTGTGGTTTAGTCGGTAGTCACATCAGAAAGATACCTCGTATAGTGACTCACATTAGCGCCTTTTTTAAACATGAAATGGAAACGGCGTTCTGTCTCTGTCAGAATTTTATTAGAGTGCATATATCGGCTCATTTTAGAAATCCCATTAAGTCACTGAGGTTTAAATGGAACCAATTTAATGCTTCTTTATTATCTCGTCATGCTTTACTTTAGTGTGCCGTGTTTTCTGTAAAGAGCTGAGGGGAGGGCTCAAGAAAACATTAATAAACCATTAACATCCCTGACGAGGGCACCGAACCCAGCACACCAGTAATCTCTGCAGGATCCCTTATCCCGTTCATTCAACAGCATGAAGAATTAAGATTTGCACAACAAGCTGCCCTTTGTGCCCATCAGCTGGTGATAGACCAACACTTTGGACGGGTACGTGTTTTGCAAGAATTTCACTCAATCTGAGTTCATGCTTAAGTGGACTGAAACTAATTGCATAATTTTTCAAGTGGCAGTGAATGCATTTCTGCAAATGACAAACGAACACTGGCGCGTATCTGAAAAAAAAAAAAAGGTCACGCTATACTGACAGTATATCTGTTTGTGAAATTGAACTTAATTATAGTGCAGTTGTTCTCGCTGCGTCCTGTTAAAGATCGTAGTTGTATGCCAAGCATTAAATCACATCCAGATCAATAAGCACAGACACTGTTGCTTTTTTCTTTCTGTTTTTTTGCAGTGCTGGTTGTGCAGCAGTCTAACCAGGGAGCTTTAATGCTTTCTCCAGCCTTGGTGCACACATACACACACAGTATGTACACACATAGAACACATTCTGCTGCTCAGCTAATCCTAAGCCATTTAACTTTAATGTCTTTAAATAGATAAATGATTAAATGGAGTGAAGTTCAGGCAGAAGAGTTCAATAACTATTCCAATAGATTAAAATCACATTCGTGCTGGGTGCTGCAGTGTGCAGTGCAGAAAGAAATTACACAGCACAGCATTGTAATATAAAAGAAATGAAAGAAATCTGTAAAAGGCAGCTATTTAGTTGTTTACTGTGTGTTATTAATATTTGGTAAAACCATAGATGCTGCAAACACTGATTTAGATGGTAGTGAACGGAGCTGTGTTGTTCTAAATGAGAAACAGTAAAACAACAAAAAGAAGTAACATTGCGTTAGCAGAGTTAACTCCAAAGCAAGCACAACTGCTTTAGGAGAACTCTGTCTTCATTACTGGAGCATGTTTGAGATTAGCAGTGGGTTTGTTGACATCATTAAGTTTTAAGGGCAGTGATAACCCGGCTATGGCTGCAGGTTTCCCCCGCTGGTGCCGTGATACTGTTCTCCCTTGTCAATAATTCCCATTTCTGTCATGGCTTATGCCGAGGCGGATGGTGAAGTAATTGGATGGACCATGTTGAACCAACATACTGGGGCTCAAAACTCAAAGATCTGTCTAAACTGATGCTTCCCCCCCCTACTGTCTGTCTGAGATAGAGGCAGTTTTAAAAGACAAAAACTGGTGTGAATTAGATAAAATAAATATAGTATAATAGTTAAAGTTGCAGCATCTTATCATATTTTGTGTTGTGTGAGTCAGAGTCCTCCTAGCTAGTGCAGTATACTTTCTTCGAACTGACCAGCGTAAAACGGGCTGCCTGAATGCATAATAATGAACATTAAACATGGAGCACAGACATTTCACCAGAAGAGATGGCCTTGTTGCATATCTCAGTAATGTGCACTCAATTGCAAAATGTAAACATGCTGATGCTAGTAGGACCTATTCCTGTGTGTCGGTGATGGATTAGACACACAGATGATTTTGGAGGGGAGGAAATATGAGCTACTTTATGCTTCTGTCACTGGCTTTTTCATTTAGATTTTATCTTAAGTGACCCTAATTTCAATCACCTCCCACAAATGATGCTGTTGCTTCTGCCTTGTTCCCCTTTGCATCAGCTGTTCACTTTCGCAGAAAACAATGAGCGGGAATCCAAATCACTAACACAAGTAAGTCAATTAGGGTTCTAATATATAGCATTAGTTAGGCACCTTGGCAGCTGGTGATTAAACAGTGATAAATCAGAGCATTAGTGCCCACAGTTACTGTTCCTGCTCTCAAACACCTGCAGGGGACAGCCTCGGATTATGCTGCTATTGTGCTGGACTAATGCTGCATGCATACTCCCACACATGTGAACACAATAGGAAGGGATACCATAGATGGATAGATAGCATGCTTACATGGCCTGTATGCAGACACACACAGCACATGCACACATGCACAAGTCAGCAATATACTGGTGATCCATACAGACCGCATGTCAGTGTGTGCACACCTACACACACGCACACACACACACACCAAAGCCAGTAGACACTGCACCGCCTCACACACCAACTCTGCAGTGACGCGCGGAGGAAGACGGGAGGCCGCTCTTATTATAATTCAACGTCAGACCAAGTTTGATAAACGTCTACCCCCCACCCCAACCCCCGACACCCCGGCTCCCCTCCCTCCCCATCTGTCTTTCCCTCCCCTCTTTCACTCTCCCTGGCCCATTTCAGTGGTCTTTATCCACAGTAGGGACCCGTAGATCCGCTTTCTCTCTCTCCCCCCCTCTCTCTCCTCCAACACCACCACCTCCATCTTTGAGATAAAACACTGGCTTTAGATTTCCAGCAGCAGCAGCAGCAGAGGGCTGGCGCTGCAGTTGCGCTGGCACAAATTCAACGTGGGTGCACACAGTGAGTGAGAGAGTGAGAGAGAAAGAGAGAGAGAGACCTGCCGCATCTTGTGGATTTCTTTGCGAACAAGCCCGTGTACATGGTTCTCCCTGTTTCTTTCTCTCTGTCTCACACAGACCAGGAGCTGATTCCAGTTTTCGGAGAAAATGTGGCATCGCACAATAGCGGCAGTCCTTTTTTTACTCAATTCTTTGGGGCACTCGCTGGCAGGCTTTCCAAACCAAATCAACATCGGTAAGTTCAATGGGATGCACTGACTACACATTCATTTTAAAAATATTTACCACAGTCTAAATAGGACACCACTCTTTAAGTCTCAATTAGTCACTGCTTGAGGTTTTATTTTTGTTGTTGTTGTTTGTTTGTTTTTTGCTTAATTCGTTGCCAACTTCACTTCTTACCAACCCAAACTGGGATTTTGCGCGTCTTTGTGGGCGGTTTGTTAAAAAAAATTTATATATAATTTTGTCAAAATGAGAATTATGGCGCATTATTTAGTGTGACAATGTATTACACATTTTTTCTTGGGTTTTTTGTTTGTTTGTTTGTTTCTTCCATTGAAATGAACTTACGTACGAGCCTCTGATATAATGCGATCACGCAGTCAGCCTGCCGTCCTTTTTAGTGGGATTCGAGATAGAGCAAACGCAGGGTTATGCATGCTGGGGATGGACTAATTAAAGCGCTGTCTTATGTGACATTTTGTTTCCCGTAGGCGGACTGTTCATGCGCTCCACAGTGCAGGAACACAGCGCCTTCAGGTTTGCTGTCCAGCTGTATAACACCAACCAGAATGTGACAGAGAAACCCTTCCACCTCAATTACAATGTTGACAACCTGGAGTCCTCCAACAGTTTCTCCGTCACACATGCCTGTGAGTAGTTCTGCACTGTACCACTGCCTTTCTCTGCACAAGAACAATAAGAAACATTCCTGTTTTAGTACTATTTTTTTTCTCAGATTGGAATAAAAAGTGCTGCAAGTTCAGGGCTAAAAAACCCCCCTCCAAAACACGCAAACAGTCAAACACATGCGGAGTACATCAAATCATTTTTGCTCTAATAGTCTCGTTGGTAGGCCATTCCAAAAAAAAAAAGGACACAGATGTTTATGAGCTGGAAATGGCGTATGAATAAACACAGACACCTGCCAAGTGTCTGGCTTAATACTCAAACTCCTCAGTCACGGCATCCAAAATTCACCAGCTGGATTATGGAGCTTGATGGCTTGTAATTAGCCAAACTGATTTTTTTTTAATTTAGTAATTCCAGAGAAGCTGATGAGCAGAACTTGGATGAATGTGCTTGAAAGTGCACAGGAAAAAAAAAAACCCAAAAAGCACTGCCACCGTGTTTGTTGGAGTATAGGATGAAGGGTTTCCATTAGGGACTGTGCAAAAAATGAATTTGGAAGAGTGGACATTAAAATGTTGTGACTGTAAAACAAAAAGTTGTAGAATCAGACAAATAGAATTGAAAACACAAAAAAGATTAGCTGTATTTACAAAGGTGAATAAGGAGACATCACTTTACAGGAGTTTAACAATGTTGACACATTCTCTGTTTATCCATGTGCAGGTATACCCCTTTGCAAACTCACCCATCCCACCCCATTAATGTTCAGGGGAGTTTGAATGTCACTTGTCCTTTTATAGTGACTTTGAATATCACATTAGTGTCTACTAGCTTTATAGTGCTGCAGACTCGTCTATATTTTCCCTCTGATGGATAAATAGCCCACAGTATCAGCTGTAACATTCTCTAATCCATGTACTCATCTCTGCAAACATGATGCACTCAATAGTAAGCTGCAAAGTGTAAGAAGCTCTCATATTTGGTCTACCAGTCCCTCGACTGCCATGTAGGGCACCGAGTTCTGTCTGGAGAATTAATTTGTTATCTTTTGTCTCACCAACTTTGCTTCACACATCACGGTTGAGGATCAGCTGCAGCTCTCCAAACTCTGTCAGCTGCCTTAGAGATGTCTGAGGAACCTAATAAAGTGAGAGTAGGGCTTAAAAAAAAGAAAAGGAAAAGAAAGGGCACGAGCACAACTACATCCCAGGCTCTCAATCATATTAAATGCTGTTGAGGTCATGTGGTTGGTGGTGAGCGTTAGCAGCTCTCACCGACGACCAGATTGGAGCAGCCTTGAGGAGAAGCTGCAGGCGGATGCAGGTTTACACACATTCACACGCTCACACCTTGACACTGCCCGGTTTGACTACAACCTTGCACTGTCAACTGCTGAGCAATTACACTGAAGCAGCTGTGGGGTCAGTGCTCAGCTCAAGGGCACTTCAGCAGTTGCTGTGGAGGAAGAGATGAATATTACACGCTCGGCTTGTCCGGATCAGGGCTAAAGCACAAACTGCAAAGAGTTTGTCCACAGCCACAACTGACTTTGACTAAACCTGAACCCATTGTTTTTGAAAGAAGCTTAAGGCTTTTCTTAAAGGATAAGAAGAAGAAGAAAGCTGATAATCAGGAGGATTAATTTCAGTCAGATAAGCTGATGCAAGCTTAGCTCAGTACTCTCCTGTTGAAAAAAGACCAGTTAGCAGCTCATTATGCAGACCAGCCAGGCCAGTTTGTGACTAAGGAATTTGCTTGAAAATGCACCAAACTACACAATTCTTATTATAGTAGTCTGGATTGCATAATGCCCCGCTTGCCTGGCAGGTGTCGATGTAGCAAATGAATGTGATGATTATGATTTGACACATTTCTATTTTGGCAAGAATTACACATTAGTCATAGCTGTGCTTTCCTACAGCAAGCCTCGTCAATTTTGATAATATTAGCAAGTGCTGATACGACTGAGATTTTAAATCTGCTCATTTCTTGTGATCCTTGAGACGGTCTACATAGCTCCCTCTTTAAATAAAACAATTGAAAGATAAAAAGAAACAGAGCAATTCCTTTTTGCTTTCATCACTTGTTGTGTTTGCTTTGATTCTGAGTGGTTAAGAAAAAGCAGGACAACAGACCTCCATCTAGGTCAGTCTGTAACAACCATCGCAAATTCCTAATGGCAAATGTCTCTGTTATTGGCAGTGTGGATCAATAGGTGGAAATCCGTAGTCCAGCAATAGTGTGTGTGTCTGTTTGCTATCCAGTATGGAAAAATCAATTCTCACCAAGCGTTCTTTTTCCTTGTTTTTACCCTCCTCGCTAATATATGACTGATTTTCCAACTGTCCCGAATCTCACATTTGCTGCTTACATTGCAGATATGAAAGTTAACAAACAACAAAAGTTGTAAACATCCAATGATCGATTGCAGCAAACAATTTCCAGCCATTGCAACTTGACTGAATTGATTCCGACAAAGAGAACCTCACTGTGCTGTTGTGTTTATTATCTCACCCAATTTGTGGCTGGAGTGAAGCTGCAGGATGTATTGATGTGACACCTTGCCGCAGGCCAGGACTGATTGTGTGCATAAATGCAGAAATGGGAAGGTTATATCCATTAAGACTGAGGTCAGGGCAGGGATAACAGACAGTGGAGACAGACCCGATAGCTTGGCTGGGTAATAAGAGGAGAGTTAAGCTAAATGAGTGTGGGGATTATACTTTCTGCATGTGGCGACAGGCAAGCATTTATTTAACGTTTAATCAATTGAAGTGTTTAGCCTTTCCCTAACTCGCAGTAATTAACACGAGTGTTAAATGCGTGTGAATGAAGAGACATTTCTGAGTGATCCGTAAAAGCGCATTTTGTGCTTCTGCACCAACAGCATAGATTTTCAAGACTGCATTGTTAAAAAAAAACTTTGATTAAGCTGTCAATATTTCACTGTATTTCTTATTAGGAGTGTTTATTGTGGCTAGTTATCCTTCCTCTGCTATGACTCAACCGGTGTGATGCTGCTCAGACAGAGGCTAATGTAAGAGCACTTCAGTGTGTAGGCAATGTACAGTTCCACTAATGCGCCACAGACCAGTTCATGCAGCCAGATCTCCTCCTCCTCCTGCTCTTCTTTTTCTTCTGCATTGTTGATGCTGCAGTGAATACTTTGACTCACCAAATCCAAATTGGGATATTTTACTTTTGTAAACTGGTATCAACAATAAGCGTGATATTTAAAGAGCTAAATATTGATGTTGGGGTTAATAATGCACACATAATATTGTATATGTCTCTGTAATTGCTCTCATTTCTCACTGACATGTTGAATCTAATTAATTTGCTAAATGTGAGTAATGACATTAGAATCATTTCTTTTCAAACTTCATACAGATGTCGTGATAAAATTGTTATCTTGAATTATGTCATAGATGTTTTTCCTTCCTACCGTGGCCAAGTGCTTGCTCACAGGGTGTCATCTGATTGTTGGGGCTTTCTCAGTATTATTGTAGGGTCATTACCTTACAATAGAAACTGCCTTGAGGCGACTGCTGTTGTGATGCGACACCATATAAATAAAACTGATTAGGACTGAGAATTAGAATTCTTTTAGCCACATTAATCATGTAGGGAAATACCATTAGTATTATTTCAATGTCTCAAGTGCATGTTTATTTATAAAATGCCTTAAAATGTTCACTTGTTTTTTTTAGTTAATATGTATGATTTTAAAATGTTTTTAAATAACATTTCTAGCACCAATGTTGCTATTTTTTACCCTGTCTACTTATGTAGATTATGCACTCTAACTTGATTGTTAAGGCAGGATCTATTTTTGAAACAAGTCAGACTTTGATCTACTTTCCAATTTAGAAGGCTTTACCAGGAAGAGAACATCAAATCACAGCAAGCCTTATTCATTTATAGTAATGACTGTTTTAGTTTAATTGAATTCAGCTTTTTATATATTGTTATATAGTAACTAGTAATCTATCCCTTATTTATGCCACAACTTGTTCCAACACACTCTGCACTCTTGCACTATAAATGTGCTGCACATGTTGTCAGTTTGGTCTGCTGACTGCTTTGTTCACTGATAGCAAAGAAACAGCCAGGCCAGTGTGTGTTCAAATACTTTGACAATAAAGCTGATTTTGATTCCTTATTCACATGACACCAAATAACAAATCACTGCTTTATACAGTAATCCAACGATAGCCTGTGAGCAAGCACTTAGTTACAGTGAAAGAAAGACTTCCTCTAATAGGAAACAAACCTCAGCAGAACCAGGCTCAGGGAAGGGCCGTGACTGGTCAGTGGTAAGGGGACAAAATAAGAGAAAGAGGAGATCACAGTGAGACTGGACATGGGCATTTGGCATAGTTTTATTAGTCTATGTAACTGGGAGGAAAATATTTATATTGTTCTTTCTTTTTACTCAAAAATTTCTTTAGAGTTTGAGCTCCATCAGACTGTTTTTGTACCTGTGAAAGTGCTTAATGGCAACATGCGGTTTGGTAAGATAAACATATTCAGATGATGCTGTAGTGGGCGTCAGTAGCTCAGGAGGTAGAGCAGGCCATCTACTAATCAGAAGACTGGTGGTTTAATCCATGGCTACTCCAGTCTGCATGCCAAGTATCCTCAGGCGAATAATAAATATTATAAAGTTTGTATCTGTCTTGTTTGAAACTTGTATGAAAAGCATAGAAGAGTGAAAACAGATATAAGATCCCTTGAAAAATTATATAATGAAACTTGTATGTTTTGGATACTTACTAAAACAATATATGAAAGTAATGAGAAAGTGG